GAAAAATTCTTAAATGTAAGCATGACAATGTAAGAATAATATTTGGATAAGTCTAAATATTGATGTTTCAAACAGTAACTGATTTATGGGGCTTAAAATATGGGTGGAATTAAAATATTTGATAATGAAGAACAAGGCTAGGAAGAAGTAAAGGGACCTAAGTAATAAGTAAATTAAATGTCAAAAGCAATTATCATACCAGATAAAAACAATATGCTACTCACAAAGACAAATCTAAAAACATAGGATAAAAAACAATGTAGAAAGTAAAATGATGGGAAAAAATTCACTGTGCAAACACTAACCAAAATAAAATTACTATACGGAGACTAGTATCAAACTAGACTTACAGGCAAAAAGTATTAGTAAAGATAAAACATTTTGTAAATATTAATGTTTCAAATTAATAGATGTAATACTCTATTTGTGGGTACCTAATAACATAAGCTCATAATATCTCAGATTTGAAATTTTTTATAATTCATCAGAGATTTCAACTTGTGGTCACTGGAAAATAGCAAGTCGCTATGGCCCAAAAGCATAATCTTTCAAAAATAAAATTAGAAGTACCAGTTGTCTACATAAAGCAACACAAAGAAAACACTGGCATATTTTCTCTAAGAACTCTCTGACTTACAACTTCAGAAAGATCTAAACTTCAATTTTCAAGTCCTTCACAATTTGAGAGTAGATATTCTTTAACACCTTAAAATATTCTTGATTATAATATCTCATGTTGTATTAACCACACTGATAAGATGCTAAAGGGGAAAAGGCAATATTGACATTAGACAAAATTCCTAAGAGCAAGTGCTTTTTTACAATGTCTCCTGTGAATGTGGAATTACAGAGTACTCCAGCCATCATCATATAACCTGCAGTTTGTAAATTATGTCGCTACATGTCTGCCTACAATTTTACAAAAGCCACATTTTTACAAGTGATGTAACTGGGTTTCAAAAATCATTTGTGGAATATCAAAGTTTTTGCATTCAGTCTTTTCTAAAACTATGATCTTCAAATAACCAACTCTTGTCTATAAAAATTGGGGACAGTGAAAATATGTATAATTACTTTACATAAGTTATGAAGGCTCTTACAGACCATCTAATAATTAAAAAGTTTAAGTCTAATGAATTTTGAAAATACGCAGGAGGCAAACAGCAAAAAGGAAAAAAAGAAAACCAAAAAACCTGGACAGTCTTTACATTATCAAAAGTTTCAATAGCTACCTCAACACAACTTTAAACAGACCAATGTCTACTCTATAGTAAGCCAAGGAAAATTATACCTCAAAGTATCTCTTGCTATTCCAGTCCCAAGTTCTTGACAGCCAACGTTATCAATACTCAGTATCTCCAAAGTTTACTCATTAAGATCACCTAGAAGCATAGAGTCTGGCCTCTCCCCCCTCAGGCTTTTTAATCCTAGATAGCTTTTGAACAAGGTCAAGGTGGGCCTCAATATCCATATTTTCTATATTTAAGGATTTTCCATTGTGATGACACAATTTATTTTCCTATCTATTCAGATTAACATTTCATAGCAAGAAGAAATGGAAGTCTTATGACATAAATAACAGTAGAATTGAATTCATATTGATATCTTCAACACAGAATCCAACTTATATTCACTGGAAGACATTTTTCTTGGACGTTTGCAGTGATTCATACCAAATATATATACTTCCAATTGTCAGACCAAAATACAATTTAAAACATATTTCCCCAACCATTTGTATATCACAAACATATACCTTTAAAACACACTCTACTCTCCAGTTTTAAGTGAAACCAAGACAAATAACATTTACTAGAATTTTAAACAGAAAATTATGTTGCTAAATGTTAATGCATTTGATAAAAATGTGTTCCAGAGCACTTCAGTACTGCATAATCCTACCAAAGAGAATGATTCTGTACCCAAGTAATTTTGGTAAACATAGCAAGCTATATTCCACCTTCCACTTCTTAGGACAATCACAATGTCCATGAAAGCATTAAAGGTTCTGAGAAAGAAAAGTAAACTGTTTCACTATGACTCAACATTTGCTATCTATCTCATCCCTTCTCCCCTCATTATGGAAAGGTAGCTGGTGAATGGTAAAATATCGGTTAACATCTTATGGAAAAATATTTGTCCCCCACACATTTTGGGAAATGCTGCATTATTCTGACATTTAACGGTATATCCAGAATTTGAGTAATTTTAACTGATATGTTTACTATGCTTTGCACATCCAGTAACACAAAGTATCTTATTTCTCAGAAAATATAAGTGTAAAACATCAAATCCTTAAACTAAAAAAAATATTGATTTTGATTGAATAAAAGAGTATACATACCTATATTTTGCTCTTTCATGGACCCAGACATACTCAGGGTCTTTCAAACTCAAGCGTGCAAGGTCCTTTACAGATTTGGTTTGTGTTGCTGAAAATAGTAAAGTCTGACGTTTCTTGGGAAGATTTTCAATAATCGCATTCATGGTATCAGCAAAGCCCATATCCAAGATTCTATCTGCTTCATCAAGAACTAAAAAAGGAAAATGCAATGAACTACTATACATTAGACTAATGCAATGTGATATCCTGTATTGGACCCTAAGACAGAAAAGAGACAATAATGGAAAAACTGGTAAAATCTGAATAAAGCCTGAAAGTTATACACTGTACCAATGTTAACCTTAGCTAAAGGTACCATAGTTATGTGAGACATGAACACTGGGGGAACTGGGTGAAGGATACACAGGAACTCTATCACTGCAACTTTTCTATAAATCAAAAATACTCAAAAATAAATACATTTTAGATAGTATTACCAAGCCAAAAAAAAAGAAAAAGTTCACTGAGAAGATGCCAATTTGACCATTCGAAGTTATGAGAAGTGGGCATTACT